TCAAATTTTATAAATGAACCCAAAAAATTACCAATTCTCCTAGCAGATCTCAAATTCCTATATTTTATAGGAGCATTATGAACCTGTACCCAGAAACTAGCCTCATACAGATTCATTGATTCAGGTATGTCATCAGGCTGAACAGTTTTTAGTAATATCAAATCACGCTCAAAGAGCCAGGGACCTTCCTCAATCACTCGCTTCATATCCAAGACATGATTAAAAATTAACAGGTACCTTTTGTCTCCGATTTCCTTGATAGTCATACCTTTAACAGGTTTCCAAATTGAGGTCATCAACTCCTGGAACCCTGGTAACTTTATCTTCCGATCCGATATCACAACCCCAACCGCCGAAAAACCAGTCGGCCCCGCCTCCTCCTCAGCGTCCTCCGCTGTGTCCTCATCAAAGTTCAGTTCGTTCTCTTGCTCGTTCATTGTAAGTTTCTTGTACGAAGCAACGAAATCTTCCATCCGGATTCTTCCTTCCGCCGATCGAAGAGAGACTCCTGTTAACCGTCTTTGTTCCTACCCTGCCGCTCGCGATCCTCGGCAAGCGCCAAGATCGGACAAAACTAACCTAGCGGCATAAACGCCCTAGGAGGCTCGAAGGTATAGAGAGAAACTCTCGCTCCGATAGGGAAGATCTAACATGAAACACCAGTTTAATAATTAAAAAGAAAAGTGAAAAAAATTGTTATTTTCATTTGATAAATTGTTAATTGTATTGTAATTGTGGATTTGTTGATTTAATTTCTTATAATGCTATTTTTAGTTTTTTACAATTATACTCGTTTTACTTCAATTCTAGTCAAAGAATTCCTATGAAAAGAATTTATACACTGATTCTTAAGGTAGTAAAGGGTCGAACCTTTTTAGTTAACATGCCCTCCAAGATCTCCAAACTAGTTCCGCCACTACAAGTAACAGATAGGAGGAGGTTTAAGTTATTGATTTCAAACGAAGACATATTCATTCAAACAACAAAACTATAAATGATGCGTATAAAGTAATTTTTCAAAATTTCCGAGCTCTTATGCAATTTTGTTCGAAGAATTTAGTTGTACTTCACATATAATAAAAAGATATCTTTTGCTTTGTTTAGTTTTTGGTCGTTCGAATTTAGCCATTTAAGAATGGTCTTGTATGTCGAGCAATTAGTTAACTGTTACTCTCCCGTCCTTTAGAACTTTGTTATCTTTTCTTTTTTTGCGGTCTCAAAACCTTTGTCATTTTTTTTAAATCAATTAATTTGTGGTTCCTATTATTCCTCTCTTTTGCACACAATTCTCAATCAATTTTCTTTAATTTATTATCTTTCATGTCAGTCAAACTTGACAAAGTTACAAGGGGCGAAGAGAGTATTTACTATTCGGAAGACTATGTTATGAACTAAATTATTCAAGTAGGCTCTATCTAAAAGACTCTCAACAGTAATTCCAATAAAATAGCCTAACGAATGGATTAATTTAGCTTTATGGAAGAGTCCAAAACCAATTCCAAATGATTAAGCCTGATAAATGAACAACTACTTGCTATAAAAGAGTTCTACAACAAATGATAAAGATTGTTTTTCTTTACCAAATGAATTATTAAATAATTAATTAATGATAATTGATGTTTGATATCACAATTTTTAACCATTAAATGAAGCTGGTAACGATGTTGAAGACTAAGTGAAGCTGCTTTGGGTGACCAGTTCTGTCCACCGCACTCTCGCTGTAGTCTTGCAACCGAGCAGGTCGATTGACTGTTAAAGAATGATGGCGGAACAGAGCAGTGCTGGTTTTGAAGAAGTTTGGAACCTGATTTTCCGGCAGCCGTGTCTAGGCAAATCGTAGTTGTTTTTTTCGGTGGTGAACAGTCTGTTCATTGGATCCGGAGGTGTTGATATTTTTCGTCCCCTAGTGCGGCGGTGTGGTTGCAGCAGCTCAGAAAGTTTTCAGCAGTGGAACGGCATCGTCCTTTCTGTGGAGGGCTAGTAAACCAGGGCAACAAATTCACAGCAAGGCAGAGGCACTGTTTCAAGCGTAAGCGGGCTATTGAACGATTATGGTAGAGTTGGAGGAGATGGTCAACAAATGTGATAACATGATTCTCGGGGGTGATGGGACGATCTGATTCTGGACGAGGAGGTCATGGGAGAGGAAGAGTCTCCGAACAGGAGTTTACGGGCAAAAGAAGACGAAGAGATGTTGATCCGCCCCCCTCCCGAACCGCCGCCATAGAGGAATTGTGCGACTAGGGTTTGGACGACAACTATTTCTGTTTTTTTTTTAATTTGTGTTTTTACATTTTTTTTTTTACTCAAGGGGGTCTGGGGGAGGGGATCTGAGGGAGTCCGGAGTAAACAGGGCCGAAACTCACTCCATTGAGTTTCAAACCTTATGTGCTTAGCGGGTTTCAAACTCGAGACCTCCCACTAGGCACGGTAACCTCACAACCAGCTGGCCTGGAATGCTTGGTTTGTTTGTGTTTTTACTTCAAACTACATGTTGTTTTGTTTGTGATGTACGCTTATTTTTGCCAGACTCTTGAATTAGGTTGGGGCGATGATGAGTTTACTCTAAACACGTTAGGCTCATTTAGACCCATTACAGGATCAGCGAGCCATATTACTTTTTTCTGGGTGATTGGCTCTAAGTCTGGTTTGAGGGTCGGTGGTTGGAAGTGGTCATTTTATCTTCTTGTTCCCTTGCTTAATGCTTTCATATCAATTTAAGCCGCCTTGTTCCAAAAAAAATCATTAAAGAATGACACATCAACATTTTAAAACTCAACTTTACTATATAGAACAAGAGATCATTAGATTGTGCATCGCACGCATCACTTACGAGTATTACTAAAAACTAAGTAATGGATAAAAAAAGAGACATTTCTTTAGTTTTAAATGCACTTTACGTCTTTACTTAATGACCCCAATGACCATTGCCGTCCATAGTGACCAACGTCGGCCAGTGATGAACTACCGCTAGTAATTCATCCAGAAAAACCTGTAGTAACTACCGCTCAGGGCCGTCTAGAGCAATTGTGAGGCCCTAGACAATCATATAGACGTTTTGTTTCTTAATACGTATAAATTCATAGAGCCGACAAACGATTTTATAATCAAGTCATTTGTTACTTTGTTCTTCTCTTTATACACCCTGAATCATGTTTTCGTTTTCCCGTCACCACAAAACCTACAGTTCCATTCAAAATAATACTACCCACGTCCTACTAATATTGAGACATGAGAAGGATGTGTGTTTATTAAAAAAGTGCGTAGATATGGTTGATATTGATTGAATTGATAAAGTAAGAAAAAGTAAGAATGACTTAAAACCACATAAATTTTTTCAAATTTGATTGAGAAATATTAATAGGACGGACCAAAAAGAAAAGATTGGACAATCTTACAATAAGTAAATGCTTCGTAAATACAAATTTACTGCTCATCATAAATAAGATACTAAGATTATAAATATTCAATGTTTAATCAAACTCACATATCACAATTCAACTACATAAGAATTTTGCACACCTAAATGAGTAATTGAGTTGTTTGAGTAAATAAATAGATTTATGCATCGATAATTTATACTTGGTATAGCACTTGCTGTAATACAATTGAATTCTTGTATACCTAGACCCTACTCCCTAGCCACTAACAATTGCAAAAAGAACTAAACAGCTAAAGCTAAACGATGTACAATCTAACAAAAGTAATCCACTAATTAATGAAATGAACTAAATCAAATTGTTAGAAGAACTACAAGGCCTGAAGTTTAAAGGTCGAAGTGTTGAACTGCCATTTGTGGCTTGGGATGTGCGGTCTAATTGCTGAATGAATAATAATTAATTAATGGAAAAATAATTATTAATTTTCCTACTCGCCGCTTGCCAGATGCTACTCACCACCATTCCTACTCGTCTTGCATGTCCGACTTTTTCATACTGGAACTTATATTTAATTAGAAATCTGCAATTTAGATTAAATACACATATACTCCGCATATATTAGTAATAGGCTTATTTTTAAAATTGGAGGCCCTTGAAATTTGGGGGCCCTAGACATTTGTGTAGGGAAAATGCCCCCATGGCCGGCCCTGCTACCGCTGCCGCCTAGTGACTACCGCTGGTCATAGCATGGGCAGTGACCACCACCGCCCTAGTGGCCAGTTTTCAACAATCTCCATCCAGAAAAACTAGCAACACCGTAACCCCGTCACGCTTGTACCGCGGCATTTTGCCCCTGCTGGGTGACACCACCTACTGCCCACCTCCCCAGCCTACTACCGAGCCCATCTCCCCAATCCTCAAACCACCGCGGCCCCTCCACTCCCCAACCCCGGCACCATCGTCACTACCCCACCCTACCCAACAACCTCTGCCCAACCCCAGTCACTATTGCCCTACACTCAAATCCAAAACCCTAGGTCTGAATAGACGAGGTGGCTGAAGACATAGATGAAGAAGAAATATGTTTCAGGCGAATGCGGGAGGCATGGATGATGGAAACGCAATTGACGTTGTCGACAACGGAAGGCAGGCATCACTAGAGGCCGGAAGGCGCTGGTGGACGGGTGGCACCGGCATTGGCTGGCAGCCAGGAGGTTAGTGCAAAATGCCAGATCTGAAAATGAGAGAAGAAATGGGGATATTAGGGGTTGATATTCTATTTATATTAGGGATATTGTGAGTTCAAATATAATTTGTCTCTTTTTTGTCTAGATAAAAAATGAGTCATAGTTTTTTGTCTAAAGGAAAGCTTGTAGTATTATTTTTTCCATTATTTTTTTGTTTCAAAGTATTCTATTTTCTCCTGTTTTATTTTTCAGTACTTGTGGAATGTTGTATGCTTTTAATTGGATTAAACTTTTTTATTCTGGTCTAGTCTTTTGTGAACTGGATTGGTCTAGTGTGGTAAATGTCTAATCTATGTGTATTACAATTGTTGAAATCTATTTTGATTAAACATGATCTTATCTATTTTGGTCTGATAAGTGAACCCTAAAATTCTTAATTTGGAATACACGCAGTTCTTTCTAGAAGCAATGAAATACCTGTAGCTGAAAAGCGCGAATATCCGCAGTTTGAGTATACGTATCACGGAGTATTTGACAAGGATTCATCTCTCTCTAGAGATCGAGAAAGTCATTGACCGAGCGAAGGCAACAGAATTGCGGGCTACAATACTGCCAGTCATCTGGACTCGTAAAGTCCATATTTTTATTTCGAGATTGTGTTTTTATCACCTCAATGAGTGAAACCAGTTTAGCCAAAGAAACTCCAGAATCTGGAGAAAGTGGTTTACCCAACGGAGAAGAATTTGGAGCTGAAAATGGAGAAATTTATTCCCAGGAAAATGTTAGGGATAATAAACGAATTAGGGATTCAATTGATAGGATCAGTGCATTACCAGATTGTTTACTTGTTCACATCATATCTTTTTTGGCTGTGAAGACAGCTGCTGCTACGAGTATTTTGGGGAAAAGATGGCAGTTTCTTTGGTCTGAATTGCGGAGCCTTGAATTCAAATTTTATGATTGGGGTAAGAGTAAGGAAACTAAGAATACAATTGAATTTGTGGCGTGGGTTAATAGGATCATTGCTACTCGTCGTGGAAATTACCTTGAGAAGATGATTGTTGATTTCAAGTATGAGGATTGCTTTGCTCCAGATGTTGATAGCTGGTTCGAGTTTGCCTTGAAAAATAAGGTGAAAGAAATCACTTTTAGCAGATGCTACAGCAAAGATTTCTACATTCTTCGTGAATTGATGTATTCGAATTCATCCTTGACATCATTGTCTTTGGAAGGTTGCATTTTTTATCCTGAAAGATCAATTAAGTGGTCATCTTTGACTAAATTAAACATATCGGAAGTGAATTTACCTCAGTCTGTAGTTGAAAAGATATTATCGGGCTGTCCTGTTTTGACCTCCTTGGATCTGAGTGAGTGTTGGGGATTCACGGTTTTGGAGATCAACTCTCGAAATCTATGTGAACTGCGGGTAAAGGACCCTGAAAATAAAGAAAGTGGGGGTCTCCTGCAAATTTCAGCACCATACATAAAATATTTAAATCTTTGGTTTTATGCTGTAGGAAGACAGATAAAGTTCAAAGACATCTCATCTCTTATCAGTGCCGATATTGATTTTAGTGAACCCATTTTAGATTTGATAATCCCCGAGGATGTGCTGAGTAATACCAAGGAAATATTCGAAAAGATTCACCATGTTAAGGAGCTTGAACTGGGTTCTGAACCGCTTAAGGTATGAAACTCCAAGCTTTTTGTCATTCTTGTGTTTCAAAAGTTGAAATTCAAATGATCTAGCTAAACTTTTAATGTTGTCGCTCAATAGGATAGTCTCATTGGATAGTTTCAATTATCTCAAACAGTCAAACTATTAACTTTCTATATAGTCTTTACTCTGTCTGAAATTTAATTGTCGGTTGCTCATTGTTTTCAAAGGAAGACACTACGATAATGCTGCTGGAGTTGTTATTCTTATGCAACCATGGGGTTATAATGATAATATAGTCAACAACCCATGTGGACAAATGCACCTCGTTCACTAGTCTCATGGCATTAAGTGAACTGAAATATCTATACTTTCTCTATAGAATTGGAGGACATACATTTTAGATGAGTACAATGAGTTTAGAAAAAAAATGTGCAGAACCAACTTCTAAATTCATCAAAGAGTTACCTTCAGAAGTGTCATGGATGTATCACGTGTTTCCAAGAAAGAGTTACACTTAACTAAAATTATTAATTGCCTTTTATACAGAGATATCATGAGAAGAATTAAGTATCTTGAGTTATCTTAGTGGTTTTTGTCACAGTTATTACTCTAACCTCACATCCTGAGTTGGTAGTCTTTGTTTGTCTGCTGCCCAGTAAAATAATTTGTTTTGCTCCTATGAGGTGATCATTCACATATTGAAGTGAAATGTTGTTTAAATTCTGGAAGATTGTTGGTCAACCATGGGTTTGTAATGCCCGACGAATCAATAATTATTCAAAAGTAGGTGTGGATTCTAGAAACTGAATCAATGTAAACGGAACCACAACCTAAATAAACTGAACTGTAAAAAACTGAAACTTAGTGCTAGAAAATGAAATGTAATTATTTTGTTCAATTTCAGTTTTGTACATTCAAACCGAACCGAATATCTTGAACTTTTATTTGTTGACCATTACACATTAATCCTAATTAATATTATTGTTAGTCTTTGATTTTCAAGTACAAACAAATTAATGTGTGGTGTTATATTATTATTTAATAGAGAGTACAATATCGATATATTAATTTTATATTCTTTTAATAGTATTTGAACTTCCATAGTAGTGTACTGCTAGTATTTTTTGTATTGTTGTGAAAATGAATATTGTATCGTTTTCATACAAACCTCAACGTTTTGTATCTAAAGTTTTTTTATTGGAGTATTTTGACAGCATACTGGAGTAGTTTTTTTGACACATAACATTTTGATAGCATAAAGGAGTGTTTTTTGTATCTAAAGCTTTTTATTGATAAAACTAATAAATAATTTCAAAAATACGTAACAAGAAAAAGATTCATGAACTTTTTTAAATCTAAACCAAAAACTTTTAAGTTAAAAGCATGTATATTCTTGTCTAGAAAAGATTTTTTTAATTAAAACTGCCAAACAGGAAAAAATGTTTTTATTAAATAAAAATGATGGATATAATGTACAAAACTTTAAAAAAACCTTTTAAATTTTCCTTTTCTATACACAATACTATATAATCATACTCTACAAGGTGTTCCGAAAATCAGAAAAATATGTTTTCTTTAACGTATAGGTCACAAATATATTTATTCCTTTACCATTTCTATTTCAGATTTCATCCAGTTTGTTTGATATTTTTTATGTTGCAGGTTTGATTTTTCCAACTATTGTCACTTTTTTTAATATCAAATGACAACATTTTTTTGTAAAAAATTTGAAAACCAAACCAATAAAGTCGTGGTTTCATGCTTTGAATGTCAAAACGAAACTGCATCGAACATTAACTTTGATTCCGTTTTTTCACTCCTATTCAAAAGTCATTTTCTTGTGTTGAATATATGCACGCAGGTCTTCTATTGTATATATATATATATATATATATATATATATACTATGCAGCTATAATACAAAGTATGTGTTTTTCTGCAACATGTATACTAGGCTCTAGCTGCACTGGTGCTTAATGGTTGGCATCTTCCAAAATATAAGCTAAGGTGTTTAGAAATAGATATGATATGTGAAGCTGGGCAAACAATTCCTGGCATTTTTGAAGTGCTGGAATCTTCTCCCGACATTGAGACATTGGTCCTGCATTGTTATGACCCCGATCTGGTAAGTGTTAACTATTCTAGTCTTGATTTTTGGTATGAATATTTGACTATTTGTTTAATATTGTTTCAGGTAACATATATGCTCTGTAGGTAATATTTTATGATAAAATCTGCGTTTACTCCACCTTATTAAATATATGTTTGCCTTAAATTTGTTGTGATTCTAGTTGGACCATAACTGGACCCCACCTACAAAGGAGAATTTGGTTTGTGACTTGTTACATTTGAAGACGATCAGAATGTCTAGGTTGGCAGATCCAAAACTTGCTGGTGACCCACTGCTTACGTTGGCTCGAATCCTTCTTAAGAGTACACCAGTATTGGAAGAGATGGAGATTTCTCTTCATATTAAAGATACAAATGTCTTTGTCAAGATAGGTCAAACCTTGCTCAACTACTCTAGATCTTCACCAAAGGCTGTCATCGATCTCTATTAAATTGTTGGCTTTTATGTGTTCATTCTCTCAACTGTGTAAACATTTACTACAACTTTGTAATAGGGGTATTTGTCAGACTTAACACTAAAATTGGCTGAATTGACTGATTGTATTGAAATATATGAAGTTCTGGCCGAAGTGATTGCATTGGCTGATTCTCTACAGTAACTTGAGCCAATACAACCAGAAAAGTAACTTCAACCTTACTTTTTCTGCTTATTACACAATTCAGTGTGCGAAATCAAAAGTTACGTGTTTGATGAAATAGTATCAGCCGAAATTCGAAAAAAGGGGTCACCAAATGGGCCTTAATCGATTTCAATTTTATTGATTCGTTTTTTCAGTCGGTCCATTATGATATATGGAACCCAAAAACCACAATATTACTTGAGTTGATTTTGATCAATTTGATTCGTTTAATTTGGATCATTTCATCTCAATCCGGGTTGGTTTAAGCATATTTTTGTATACATTTGTCTTTTAAATTTGTTTTTTATGTTCAAGTTTGTATGGTGCGTGTAGAGAAGTTTATTGGTCTTCATAATAGAGAAGTGTAACTTCTCATATTTGAACCCAGGACGTTATAGAAATAATCAAGACCCCATTATCTCATCACATTTTTAAAATAGAAATTATGTCCTACAAGCTTTACACTTGAAAGGTTAACAGTACTCACTATTATAAAAATCGGTCAGTACTCACTATTCTAAAAATCGGCCTAGTCGGCCGCCTGGGTGCTAGGCGTCTTCAACCGTCTGACTAGCGTCTGGCGAGTTTTAGAACAATGACAGTACTATATCAAGCACTTGCCTCTTTGTCATATACTGAATTTATTACGTGTTGTAGAGAGAATTGTGTGTGTGAGCTCATTACTAACTATCCTATAAATAGGGAGAAATTAGGGTTTACAAGAATGAGCTAATAGACACATAATACCGAGTTTACACATGATGACCCTAATACGTACATATTCTATATAAATGACAACCCACTGCATATAATTTCTTTCAAGATTTTAAATTATATTGTTTGAATGATAAATATATGACTAATTTTATAAGCTTATAGTTTTGAATAATAACTATGCCAATGTGAGGCAATGTTTGATAATGTGAGGCAATGTTTGATTTTTGAAACCATATCACTTCTTTTTTTACCATCTTCACTAGTTTTCATTTTTATAAGAGATCCATGTTACGATTTAAACACACACAATACGAAGAATGATAAGAAAGAACACAAGAGTTTGGTAACCCAGTTCATCAAGAATGACTATGCCTGGGGGCGCTACCAAGTCAGAATGTTACTATTATTTTCTGATGATTATTATAATGAGAGAGTGAGCATTTAAAGAGAGAGAAACCATAATCCCAATAGGAGAAACGTGCGGCCCATATACAAAAGACCCCAAATAATCCACACCATGATCGGCGGAATGAGCTTGGTTATACGGTATCTACACTTTACAATCCACACCATGAATATAAATCGATTTGCTCCGATAGCATAATAAGGCTTGATTTTGTGCTAAAAGATCATTCTGGTAGCAAGAGAAGCATATTAATTTAAGAGTTCATAATTTATCATCGTGTGAAATAATTAAACACCCCTCACCGCTCACAATGGGAAATTTTGTTTGAATTGGAAGTTGTATCCTAAAAGGAGGAAGAAATACCCAACAAAGCATAAAGAGAACTAAGAAGAAACTTCACTTTCTAACTAGGTGTATTAAAATCATTGGTAAGTTCTTACTTGATTTCAATTACTATAATGCTTTAAAGCGCAGAGAGTGTGATAAGTGTCTAGAGTTTGTCATGAAACATGAGGTGAAAGAATATAGAATAAGAAAAGGTACAACAAAGAATTATCCACTCTTCATGAAGTGATGTAATTCATCCTTCACATAATTGACTTTGCATGTTTCCAGTTTGGATCCTCCAAGAGAAATTTAGTGATCGTCCATTTTGGATCCTTTTGTCAGTGATCGTGTTTGACTGTATTGGAGATATGAATAGTGAGCTAGAATTGCTATATTATAAAAAACGTACTCCATATTTAAAACAGTATTTTGTTAGTGAAATAGAGAAAAATAGATTATGTGTGACAAAAGATAAGAGCCTGTTTACTAACTGAGATATTTTCCTGTTTTCTACTTCTGTTTTTTGTTCTCCAATTTCCTGTTTTTATTTTTCAGTTTTTCTATCTCCAATTTTCTGTTTCTAGTTTTTAGTTTTCCATTTTTAAATCTGAAAACATGTTCATCAATTTTTTCACCCAGTTCTCCAATTCCACACCCTTGACTCTTACCCCTGCCCTTACCACGATCTTACACTCTACTCATACTCCCCCACAACCCTTCATACCCACCCATACCCTACTCGTAGGTGTCGGGTAGTGGGTGGGGGTGGGGTAAGGGGTATGGTCAAGGTGGGGTGGTAAGGTCTAGGGATAGGGGTTGGGTGGGGGTAGTGGGTGGGTTAGGGTCGTGGTTAGGGGTAAGGGTGGGGTAGGGTTGGGGTAGTGGGTTGGGATAGGGTGGGGCCAGGACCAGGGTGGGATCGAGGTAGGGAAGGGGTAAGGTGGGGGGTAGGATGGCAGTAAGGGTGGGGGTAGTGGGTAGGGTTGGGGTTGGGGTAAGGTAGGGGTAGGGTAGGGAGTTGGGATAGGATGACGGTAGGGTGGGCTCGGGATCCGGGTGGGGCCGATGTAGGGGAAGGGTAGGGTGGGGGGTAGGATGGCGGTACGAGGGTGGGGGTACTGATGGCGGTGGGGTGGGGCCGAGGTAGGGGGCATGTGGTAAGGGGTAAGGTAGGGGTGGAGGTAGGGTAGGGTGGGTCGGGGTGGGGTCGAGGTGGTAGGGGGGTGGCGGTAGGGTAGGGTGGATCGAGGTGGGGCTGAGGTAGGGGCATGTGGTAGGGGGTGTGGTAGGGTCATTATAGGGAAAATGGGTATGCGAGGTGGGGGTAGGGTGGGTAGGGTAGGAGTAAGGGGTAAGGTACGAGGATGGAGGTAATGGAATTGAATCAACATCGAAGCGGGACCGGACCCACCACTAGGTGTAAGTATGCAATTCATTGCAACGACACTGTAGTATTTGTGTTTTTCAAATTTGGAAAACTAGTAAAAGTCACTTTTCCAAATCATTTAGGAATAGAGAGACATGTCTCTTTTTTTTCGTTTTGGAAAACGATTTGGTAAACGCGTTTTTCTTTTTTCCTTTCTCCAGTTTTCCAGCAATTTCTTTGGTAAACACGTTTCCTGTTTTCTGTTTTTCAGTTTTCCAGTTTTCTGGAAAACTGGAAAATATCTCTGTTAGTAAACAGGCCCTTAACCAGTAAGGTCCAAAACTCGGAGGAGTTATTGGGTGGGGCCGGGGAAGTTCCCATTGTCAATCCCAGATAGCGGAGCGGAGCGGCCAGCCCCAAAAACGCTATAATGGTATAGCGGATAGTGGGATGACCGCTATTTAGGCTACTTTCAAATATAATACATAAGTAATTATTGGAAGCATATATAGTACATTACATACACATTTCAAGTTCAAAAAGTATGATGTATGTTGATGGTTACTTAGTAATACTCTTTTAAGTATTTAGTTTCATGACCAAAACATAAGATGTTATTAATGATTAAAACATCTTGAATCAAAAACAAGGTTCTAGTTTAAGATTTTAAGCCTTGATATATTAACAGTCAAAAAATTTAGATCCAACTTGCAAGCCCTTTGAATTCATCATTCACCACTCCTCATCAAATTCTTCTTCTTCTTCCAACTCTATCTCATCTTCATTGTCATTTTCACTACTAGAGTAATCATAAATTTCTTCCTCCACATTTGTCTGCTCTGCCACTTCAACATGTTCTACATCTTCTATTGAGTGGCCCCTCCCTCTAGAGCTTGTGCCTCCTCTAGACCCTCCTCGAGACCTTGTACATCTTCTAGAGCTTGTAACTCTTTCACTTGTTCTGCTTTGCTGCCTAGTGTTTATCAAGGACTCACACACTCCAATTAGATCAACAAAATCTCCCCAAGTAAAGTTGGCATCATCATCGAAAACCAAATCATCCTCGGGATCCTCTCCATCTCCTCCCTTTACTCCCACCAACCACTCATTTCTACCATCAATATCATTTAGGCAAACTGTATCAATCAAATCACGACTATCAAACCGCTCCTTAAGATCTTGGTTATATTTAATATAAACCAAATCTTGCAACCTTTGATGCTCAAGCCTATTTCTCTTCTTCGAATGAATATTAAAAAAATTTGCTAGTTTTGACTCCATAATGAAAACATCACACTAAATCACTAATACACTATATGTTGTTAGAAGTTTTAAAAAATGTAATAATAACATACATGCTCAAATGTACTCCAATTGCGCTTACATCCCGATGAGCTACAAGTCAAACTTAAGTTCTTTATGGCAAGCCTTTGAAGATTTGGTGTATGTGATCCATAGTTCCTCCACCATTCACCTTTAAGTGGAAGTACACATTAACATTCTATTAGGGCAACTTATTTAAAGAAAAAAGAATAAGTTGCATTGCCTTAACTTACCGGGACCAAGAGTGTCTCTTTGCCTTACTGCCAACTTCAACACAAAGAGACCTTCAGCTCTCTTATAAGCATTCAACTCAAATTAAAATTTTATCTTCAATTTCTTCACATTCACTAAGCCTCTCAATGCACGCATAAAGCCCTTGCATAACCTCATTGTCCAGGTCCATTCTTAGGTTTTTGTAGTAGAAAGAAGGGTTCAAATAATGACAAGCGTCATGCAAGGGATGATGGAGTTGAGTTTCCCATCGTAAATCAATGATTTCAAATATTTTTCTGTATCTCCTTTCATTTCCTTGAAAAGAATTCTGAATTGCTTCCTCGGCTCGATCCATTGCTTCATAAATGTATCCCATTGCGGGTTTTTTCTCATGATCCGCTAACCTTAGAACGTGCACAAGAGGGCCCATTACTTTCAGAATGTAAACAACATCATTCCAGAATGTTCAATTAAAGATTATGTCCAGAATTCTCTTAGCATTTCGATCTTTGGAAACATTAGTCTTTTTCCATTCATCGGAAGTAAACATGTTTCTAAGCTTTGCTCTTTGAGTATGCAGTTGTTGCAAGGTAAGGAATGATGTAGCAAACCTTGTAATACCACGTCTAAGGAA